GCACAGCTCTGTATGCTCGTGTAGCGACCACCCCAGCCCGTACACTTAAGTAGTCATTAATCCCTAGGCTCTGCCCACCCAATTCTTCCTCACTCTTTCTCCTCTCTTACACTAGTATTATCTCTTATTGGCCACTGGCTATCGTGAGAATAAAGATTTGAAACAACAAACAAACAATAGCATACTGAGAACATAGCTTTATGATCGGATGAAATAGGAGACACAAAAAAGGACAGAACAGCAGGATTTGGTCGGTCAGCTTTATTTATTTATTCACAATCATGTGGTACCTAGCCCATGAAAAGCTGATGTGGGCGATAGCCAGCCATGGTGGTAATAGAGGGGGGGGGGGGTGGAAGAAAAAATGAAAGGGGAACTGAAATGTAAGAGAAGTGTGGGGAGCTAGGGCAGAGCTGGATATCAACTACCGTAAAAGTCTGTAAATAAATACGTATTTACTTTCGAATTTAGTGACCACACCCGTACTAACTTTCGGGCGGGTACTGACTTTCGGGCACGAACTAACATTCGGACCTGACTTGTGTGTAGTGGAGAAGTCATTTTCATGTAGATGTACATGCTACGTGCTGCATGGGCGCACCGTACCGGTACTTATTTCGGGCAGTATGTTTATCGGGCTTGACTTCACTTCAACAGACAGAGCCAAAAGAATGAAGGGGGTATTTTCTTTCGGGCAGGTACTTATTTACGGACTTTTACGGTAGTATGTTGCATTCTGCAGTAGCTGTATGAATGTTTTGTACGAGTACCATTGGCAGGATTTTAGATCTTGGGGGAGGATAGACCGGTGGCGGTGAGCAAGGAACAGAGGAGATGTTTGCATTGAGGCAGACCGCGTAATAGGGAAGCGGAGAGAGCTTGTTGTCAGCAGAGTAGCCTATGGGAGACAAGGTCTCAACTGGCTAGAATACCAAGAGTCAAAGAGCAGGCGAGTTGCAGCAGCAGAACACATTCACTGATCACCTACCGGTGGACTTTGGTGTATTGCTGTCCATGAGCAGAAAGCCAAGCTGCACCAGGCCCTGCATGACATGCTCCCAGCCAGTCAGCCTGCAGAGTACAGTGTGGACACACCAACGCACACCATGCGCATGCACACCAAGTCACGAACACAGTGCGGTTTCATGTGCAGATGCAGAGTTTTTAGAGCTCTGAGTAACTCACCATATCACCTGTATTTCTAGTGTCTAGTAGATTAATAGAACGACATTTGAGCTGACAAGCTCGTTGCCATCACTCTGGAAAATGCTGAACATCGTTTCCATATCGATTTTAAGTTTTTAGCAATGTTTCGGCGCTCCGTCATGACCAGGTCAATGTAGATTTGTGACCCTGTATTACACCGCCCTGAGGACATGGATCGATGGTGATGGGGGCTCGCTACCGGCATGGACAGAGTCTCTCCTCACAGTAGTTGCGAGAGACATCTGCTACCGTATTTTCCGGAGTATAAGCTGCACTGGAGTATAGCGCATTCTGGCCGCCCAGGGGTCGACCAAACCCTCCGATGTCTCAGAGAAGCAGGGTGGTGGCCAGGGTTCATCAAAACAGTCAAACAGGTTTCGGCTAACTCCAGTCCTTGTGCGATCGAGTCCAAAGTGAGACGCGTGCCAATACAGCCTCTGAGGCTACCATCCCATATGGCCATAGCACACACCGTGTCGGTTGATATCTTCTACTAGCAATCAACGCCTTTTCTCAGTTTCCTGGATACATCTTTTCTTCAATCCAGAAGAAGGCCAAGCACCGTAACACCAAAAAGCGGGTAAAGCTGAATACAGGATCCGCTGGCAATACAACTACACGTGTAAGCTCACCTGCAGACATCCATGAGCAGTGACGCTATGTTAGAAACAACCGGTGATGTTTCTGTAGACAGGGCAGAAGAAAAGTGTGCCACCTGGTGTTATTTCAAGTGTACATACACAAAAAACACACACACAAACACACACACATACACACACACACAAACACAAACAAACACACACACAAACAAACACACACACACACACACACACACACTAAACACGTAGAGTTTGGAGAAGCGACCATGACAATTGCTACCATGCCTAATCAGTTGAGCAGGCATCATCACATTCTACAATTCAGCGTAACAAAGTGTACAACAGAATGTCACACTGTTGCTAGCAAGTCAGAATGCCACCGCACAGACAAACAGGCACACAAAACACAAGACACACCGTATGCCCAGCGAGACATTTTCCGCTTCTCCGCATCCCGGTAGCTGCGGCTGATTGCCGACGTAAGGATCTCAAACACCTAAGAGCACAAATTCATGATCAACAACACATCATTTGACCATTTGATCATCTGACACCTATCGCTACAACACACACGGGCACACACACACACACACAAACATACACACACACACACGTCGCTCGGAGTAACCTCCTCTCGTCTCGGTTGATGGTTCTATTCGCGGGCTTGCAAGGCCTCGCGACGGGTCCAACAGCGGAAAACAAAGTCACGCACATACGCACATACATACAGATATCACATCGATGAATGCAGCATGTACGAGCACGCAAAAGCCTTCTAATTTCTTCACACACGCATGCGTGCGAGCACTCTAACAGCAGAAGACCCCAGCACCCACATCCACACACACACACACACATACACCCCAGGTACTCAACCTCCACAGTAAAGGCAAACAAACTGAGCAAAACCTGGCAGCCGCCACCCACCCATTGCACATGCAATACAAACACAACAGCAGGGGCGTCGGACAGGCAACGGTCACTACGGTATGGACCGTACCACTCATTGCCCCCTGGTACCCTCTGAATTTAATAAAACTAAAAGGCACTAATTTGGGCTCTAATTTTCGAAATTTTCACAAGAGACACCCCAACCTCACGAGTAAATTGTACTTCAGATGGCTGACAGTACCATCCTAAAATACCTTCCGACATTGCCCCTGAACAGGCACACATAATATGTACATGTAGGCTAAGGATTCAACAGAAGATGGTGACACGGGATATCAGTCTTACGGGCTCCTCGAATCGGCGAATGCGAGCCAACGATAGCGCCAGTGCCAGGACGAATGGAGACAGCACTGAACTGCTGGAGCGCTGCTGGCACACCTGCATATACAAACACACCAGCGGGATTCAAAGAGAAGGGGTGAGCAGTGAGCACACATGTTCTTTCACTGGGCACTGCAAAGTCGCAACTCCGCTCATATTATCTTTTTATTCTAAAACAAAATGATAGTTGTGAACTGAGTTGTGATTCTGCAGTGCTCAGGGAAAGAGCATGTGTGTTCACCCCTTCTCTTTGACATATGAAGCTGCAGAATGCCTCGGCCCTACTACGTTTATCAGCAGAACTGATGGCAAAAATCTTCGTGAACCCCATGACAAACAGCCAATGCTGCCGATATATACACGCATGGGTACGTTAAACACACGCAGCACAACAAATACTGTGCATGTACAGAAGGTGACATGTGATGAAACCCATACTGGCATGCACGTCCAGTGTGAAAAGACGTGCCTCTCTCTCTCGACACACACACACACACACACACACACACACACACACACACACACACACACACGGACAAGGATGATTCGCTGCGTTGGAAGGACATATCCGCCCGGACTGGGCACACCATATCCAGTGCATACCCGCTGTAAGAGCAAGCAAAACAGATTGTATCGAACATGCAACGTACCTTCAGGGTCTTTACAAACTCGCGCCCCAACTCCTGCCATGTACAGGGAGAACACAGAAGACAGAAAGGACATCAACTATCTCATCCAGTCTAAGCTGACAGGTATGCATGGGTCTTGGGATGACAAATGCATCGACGTCAGTTGCAGACCACTTGCACTAGCCTGTAAGACGCACTCTGAAATATGCACACAGACTCGTGAGACACGCCAAGTTCCCATCTTCACTCTGCGCTTTGCGTAGTGTCGCACAATTTTGCAACAATTTTCCAAAAAGCCACCTGTCCAGACAGTGAGTATAAAAAGAGAACTTAAGTACAAGAACACCCACCTGGTCTTGCTTGGCCGCAAACGTAATGTGCAGTATGACAGTTCCCTGTGTGGGCCGCAGATCAGCAGGTGCTTCAGCCTGCAAGTCCTTCCTGAAAGAGAACAAAACAAAGAAAAGAAAAGAATTGAAAGAAATGCAACTAACTACATCGTACACAAAATGAGATACCGGTACTCCTGAAACGAGAACATCTGATGATTCAAAGTTACTTCTAGTAGTATAGATGTTGCAAGACCACAGGGAAAAGAAGAAAGTAAATGAGAGAACACCTCCTGGACGTGAAGAAAAAGGTTGACTACGTACCATGCAATCACATCCGGTCTAAACTTTGACACCATAACATGCTACACCTCACGCTGCACTACACCACACTACACTATGCTGCTATTACATGTACAACGAGTCAACGATTACATCATAGCTTGGTGGTAGAGCATCGCTGATTCGCTGGCCATAAGTGAGGGCCCCTGGTTCAAGTCCTGGTGGTGACAGTCAATTTTTTCTTCAGACTTTTCCCTTTTGCACCTTTCCCTCAAACAAACGAATATTTTAAGACTTGGGGCTCCGCACGTGCTAGTTTGTACGTGAAGTGTGTGGGTTACAGTGAGGGCTGCGCCACACCCGCCTGTGTGGACTAACAGGAAGCGCGAGTTTCGAAGTCTGAAGAAAATGTTGAACGGTCGATGCTGGGATGACGACTACACACCGTAGCATAGTGGTAGAGTATCGCTGGCGATAAGCAAAGGTCACTGGTTTGAGTCCTGATGGTGACAATCAGTTTTGCCTTCAGACTTTTTCTGTTCGCACCTTTTTCCTTCAAACAAAAGAATACTATCACATACACTACTGTAAAGCATGACATTTTCGCGACGTTTTTAGTTCGCGTTTTCAGAATCCGGACAGGTTTGCGAGGTTTTAATTTTGCGATTGCAGAATGGCATTCTTGCTAAACCTGTGGCATTCTTGCTAACCCTTTCATGGATCTCCTTTTCGCGCTGTCTAAATTTCGCGATTTCCACGTGGTCGCGAATTTCGCAGAAATTAGACCATCGCATTAATTTCACGGTTTACAGTATGCATACTGCCTCAACGGTGCTACAAGTACATGGATACGAGGGCAACAAACTCACTCAGTTGAAAACGCTTGTCCCGCACTATGAGAGCAGATCTACCGGTATATGATACAATAATTTGAACTCCCCTGCATACTCACCCGGTGTCGTCAGTCATACTCTGTTTGTCCAGTTTGCTGAAGTATGTGCACAGGCCATCCAGTACCAGCCGCTTATGACCCTGGAGAGAAGTTGCGTAGAGCGGTGTAAGGGGACAGATAATATCGCACACACCAGCGTGTGCATGCACCCGCACACATAAACACAGACACACACGGACATGCGCGCGCACGCGCACACATACACACATACACACCGCCACTGTCTGAAATCACAAGGACTCCCCTACCTTACACAAAACTTCGTCAAAAGTAGAATGCACACTATTATCAAAGGGGATTGGATATACATGTAAAAGCACCAGTCCTGCTCACGCTACGTCACACAAACCTCACATTGAAACTTCAATATAATGCTCCCGGGATAGAACATACTATGGGATATAACTCATACCCAATATTCTTGCGAGTATCTTGTGAGCTCGTTAATTCGTTTTCAAATTTTTTGAACGAATATTCGGACTTCCGTTCTTTCGTTTCACCCCAATAGTGGTTTTAAAAGAAGAACCCTGCCATGCATGTTACTGTAAAACGGCTTATTATAGCGAGGGAGGATTTGTGCTGGTATCTACATCGCTGGAGTTTATGTACATGGCAGTAGACCCTGGTCAGAAAGGAGCTACTGGTGGCTGTAAGTGAGGAGAATGTCGCCAGCGACACGCTGAAGAGGGCACTCGACATAGTTGTGGCAGCAGCCGGAAACGAGGCTACGGGTGTAGTGGAACAGCTGGCGAGCAGTCTGCGGAATGATGAGTCCCTATCCGAGTCATGGCGGAAGTGGACACACTCCACGACCAGTTGAGCAAGGCTGTGGATAGAACCTGTGACCGGGTATGCTAGATCAGCTGTCGGCCCATCCAAGTCGCTACGGGCATTTCGCCCCGGCATCCATGGAAAGGAAAGGAAACATTGAGAAGGAGAGGAGAGAGAGAGGGGGAGAGAGAGAGAGAGAGAGAGAGAGAGAGAGAGAGAGAGAGAGAGAGAGAGAGAGAATGCTGGACACCAGTAAGGTTGCTGTGGCAATCGGACATGCCACAGGGCAAGGGCCCTATGATGACAATGATGGTGAAACTGCGGATTTGAAGCAGCCAAGCACGCCTCATGTCGATAGCAATGTTCTAGGCAAGATCTTCTACAGCTTTTTTTCTCAGTAAGGACACACTATGACTGACAAAGGAGTTATATAGAGCAGGCAAGAGTTCCATCCTTGCTACTTCTTCCACGTCGTTTGCATTTTTCATCAACCACCACACGGTTTGCATTGTAATAAGTTTTGCCTTTAACTTGCGTTTTTTTGTTTTAAACTGTGTACAGGTACTGAGTATAATACTTTCTTTGTCGGTGTCAAATACACGTGCCCCCATCAATTGTTGTCTCAGCCGCGCCTACGCAATACATGGTTGTGCTGAGAGCTGGATAAATCCAGTGCGCAGCGTGTTGGCTTATATTCCCAACACTAGGTAAGGAATGCTGCTACTGGTGCTGCTGTGATGGTGCAGCTGTGATTGCCGTGTGCATACCTTTGGTTTTAATGTGCAGTATGTGCAATACCGTAGTGTCTTGTATTAAAGCCTATCTCATATAGAAGCCTGTTTTGAATACTGTAAAAGCCATATATATAACGAAGTGCTAACTCTAACGAGTTAACGAGGAGAAATCTGTCGTTAAAATAGAAATCGTTATACAGAAACTCGGATGTTGAGCCATAAATAAATGTAGAAGAGAAAAGGACATATGGATACGAGTTAAGAGTAACTATCCATCACTGTAACATGATACTATATACAGGTGTCCGGACGTCGAATGTTTCAGTACACTGTCAGTTTTGTGCCTAGTTATTGCACTTTCTGACTGTATATAGTATCATGTTACAGTGATGGATAGTTACTCTTAACTCGTATCCATATGTCCTTTTCTCTTCTACGTTATACAGAAATCGATACATATACTGTCCTATTGAGCGTTGAGAATGAGTGAGAATCGTTACCTTTGGTACACGTAAACCAGTCAATTTTGGGAAATCGTTATATATGCGCCTCGTTAGAATAATGGCTTTTACAGTACAAGCCTGATTTTTCAAGATTCACAGTCGGCACTTAAGCCTGGTTTTAGTGTTGATACACATAGAAATACCCGGTTTGAATAGAAGCCTGATGTGAATAGAAGCCTGATGCGAATAGAAGCCTAGCCCTTATATCGCCTTCTACAGGAATAAGCCCGGCTTTAATACGCGGCATTACGGGTATGTCTGTACAATAGCCTTTTTCCTGTTCCGTAAGCCCAGAACCCTTTGCAATCCTGAAACGTTCGCGATTTTCGCGACGGGTGTGAAATTGCGAAAGTAAGCGGGCGCGAAACGCGAAACTCTAGACTCAAGTCAATCATCAAATGGACTCCAATCGCAACCGTTTGCAGGCGCAAAATGCAATATTTAATTGCAAAATGGTCTGTGATTTCTGATGATTATCACATGAAACGATGTTTAAATCATAAAAATTTAATATTGTTCCATTGTTCTCGTGGTGTGAGTGTGCTCACTTTACGTTTACCGATAAAATGGTGTCATCGCAATTCGAGAACTAAAACGGGCGCAAACGATTGCATGTTTACAGTATGTAATTCTCCCATAATATGCTATTTGGGAGACAATAACAAGCCCCAGCTTCCCATACATGTCCTCGTTCCTGATGACGGTCATAGACCGAAATGTTGAATGAACAAAAGAATTTGGAGCAAAGTGTAGATATCAGTGCAGTTCGAGGTGTGGCGTTTAGCCCACAACAGAAATGCTTACTAACTAGGTAAGGAATTGTGACAAGCGGATTCAACAACATGCTGATACAGTGCAGTCGAACACCATAGCATAGCATAGCATAGCGCCTCGCCTACCTTGTTGGCCAGTAGGAGCAGCTGGTAGACAAGCGGTGGCAACTCGGTGAGAGTAATACCATCCAGCATTCTGCCAGGAAAACAAAACAACGCAGGACCAGAAAACAGAGATGGGACACGAGGCAAAAACAGCATGCTGGCCAAAGACGAGAAGCAAGAGACAGCAGCAGGCGCAGACAATGGGAAACGGGAAAAACAGCAAATGCCACTTCTTGAGTTGACTACTTCCGTTGACAAGGGCGTGCTTGATTGAAATCGAGCCATCACCAACTCAGAGCAAAGAGGTGTAGGATTAAAACAAAAAAGATGTGCCACTTACTCCATGCAATCAACAGGTGGCATGCCGGCTGGCACATGATCTTCATCAGCATGAAGGTGTGAAGTGAAAACACCAATACTCATGACCACATACCAACTCATCCGCTCACACACACACACACACACACACACACACACACACACACACACACACACACACACACACACGCGCGCGCGTGCACGCACACATGCACGCACACACATGCACGCGCACACACACACACACACACACACACACACACACACACACACACGCACACACGAACACATGCACGCACACACGAACACATGCACGCACGCACGAACACATACGCGCGCACACACAATGGCCGCATGTCCTACTACCACAGGTCCACAGCCAATGGACTCACCTCACAACCTTCTCCAGCACAAACCGCAGTTCTTCGGTTGTCATGGTGACATCACTACACATACACACAAGTAAAGAACATGATGTCCGTACGCACACGCAACTGACACAAGTAATAACATGTCATGATGACATCACTGCTCATACACGCAAGCAACTGACACAAGTAATAACATGATGTCATGGTGACATCACTGCTTATATTGCAGATAACAAAATCAAAATTTAACGAAATAATTTAATTCATTAAAAAACGTTATAAATAGTCGAAAAAGCGGTCTTTTAAAAATTGCTACAGACGTTGTTTAGTGTGATTACAACACAAACAACGAGACTACAAAAGCAGCTAATAAAAAACTCCACAGTGGCGTGGGAGTAGGAAATGGGCCCCAAGCCCTACAACCACAGGATTGCTGTCAAGAAGGCAGCAGTGGCCGGGAAGATACATCCGTGTGACGCCATCGAGGCGCAACGTGGGAATGCTGGTGCTTCAAACTTACCGAAACATGGCGGCCAGGTGGATGACTACGCCGGAGGACCACTTGCACGAGCACACCTTGTTGATCATGTGAGACTTGTACGCCGCGCCAGTCATCTGCCCACTGCAGTCTGCACACATGGGGGAGAGGGAGGGGGGCACAGTGGACATGGGGAGAGAGGGGGGGGGCACAATGGACATGGGGGGGGAGAGGGGGGCACAGTGGACATCGGGGGAGAGGGGGCACAGTGGACATGGAGAGGGGGGGCACAGTGGACATGGGGAGAGGGGGCACAATGGACTTGGGGGAAAGGGGGGGGGGGCACAGTGGACATGGGGGAGAGGGGGGGCACAAGTGGACACGGGGAAAGGGGGCACAGTGGACATGGAGAGAGGGAGGGGGCACAGTGGACATGGGGGGGGGGGGAGACACAGTGGACATGGGGGAGAGGGGGGGGGGGGCACAGTGGACGTGGGGGAGAGGGGGGGGCACAGTGGACATGGGAAGAGGGGCCACAGTGGACATGGGGGAGAGGGAGGGGGCACAGTGGACATGGGGGGGGGGGGAGAGGGGGCACAGTGGACATGGGGGGAGAGGGGCACAGTGGACAGGGGAGGGGGGGGGGGCACAGTGGACATGTCAGAGCGGGACGATTCAAACCACACATGAACACACACGCGCCAACAACTGAGCAGACGTGAAGCAACACTCGCACTTCATAGCAGCAACACAGTTCCATGATTGCCAATTCGGAAACGTCACATGATCGCTGCCTAAGCTATGACCAATGGGAGCGCTCGCAACTGGTCCGTGATGCGCCAAAACGCACACGCGCCAACCACTGAGCAGACGTGAAGCAACACTCACACTTCATAGCAGCAACACAGTTCCATGATTGCCAATTCGGAACCGTCACATGATCGCTGCCTAAGCTATTGTTGAATACGAAAAAGGACGACTGACGACATATTATCCAGACATTACAACGGGAACAGGTAGGTTGGTGGAACGACATTTATTAGAGACGGGACAAGAGACCAAGACGAACGAAACGACTACATGGTGATTATTGAAGAGTGAGAAAGAGAGCAAGTCTGAACGGCAAGATAAAGGGCCTGGGTAGCTATGGCAATTATGGGCGCGCAAGTAGCTACCCAGGCCAACGGAACAAAAGGAGACAAAAGGTGAGTACGCGAGTGCATGCAGGCCAGCTAGAAAAGGTACGGGAGGAGGTACCTAACACTATGACCAATGGGAGCGCTCGCAACTGGTCCGTGATGCGCCAAAACACAAACGCGCCAACAACTGAGCAGACGTGAAGCAACACTCGCACTTCATAGCAGCAACACAGTTCCATGATTGCCAATTCGGGAACGTCACATGATCGCTGCCTAAGCTATGACCAATGGGAGCGCTCGCAACTGGTCCGTGATGCGCCTGCCACGCCCCGAGTGCGAACCTGTAAGAACACACGTATACACCAAATATGGCTCGATATGATTTTTTAAATCCCAGGGCAGTCACCATGGTGACAAGCGACAATGACCACTCATGCTCGTCACCATGGTGACGAGTGATAATGACCACTCATATCCAGCGGCAACGAGATGTGTAAAGGTTTGAAACCGTGCAAATATCCACCGCTTTCGACCTCGTACTAGTACTTCAATCAATCCGATGAAGGTCCGAGCGCTTGGTGCCAGAGTTCACTGTCGGTGGACATGAATAGACATATGATTCAAGGTTTGGCATCTGCATCAACTAGATATTGAGAAGTCAGCGGATCGCAACAGGGAGACCATAAATAGCGTGCGTGTACCGTCAAATCGCCCCATCTATTCTCACGCACACATCGACTCATCAAGTGAGCAGCGCGCAAAAAGTGGGCAAGATCGAGAGAGCGCTGCAGCAGAGGCGGCAGATCAAACTTCAAGGACATGACCATGCACGGGAAACATGAACGAAAGCAGCATCAGACCTCGCAATCCGCTTTTCACACTCTCCGGACCCCCTCGCCACGGGCTGTGGAAAACTTTCCACCATGCCACCAGGATCACGTTTTTGTTGTTGTTGTTGTTGTTGTTGTTGTTGTTGTTTTGAATTCTTTATTCTCACGATGGCACCATCGCCAATAAGAGATTGTTGTTGTTGTTGTTTATTTGTTTATTTAGAGTCGAAGAACAAACAGGCAAAATTGCCTAATTACATGATAGCGACATGATATCACTTCGTTATTTCGCCGTAACAGTTTCACCAGTCCGCCGGTTGTTCACATCAATACGAACGCGCGCTCGGCAGCGTCAAGTGTGAGCGCATGCAGTTTTAAAAGCAGCGTCTACTGGAACTCCAGGACCAAGAGGCGCAAGCGGCTCCTACAACCACGACGGCGAACTCCTTCCCCATGGCTAGCGCACTAGACCAGCTGGACATCTATTACATGAGCGCACGGGAAAGCTGGCACAGCATGCCTCGTACTACTATACAACACACTTTTATGTTACCCTAGTAAAATAAAAGTGACTACCGTACTTCCCACATATAAGCCCATGGGCTTATATTAAAGTGAAAATTTGCTACAAAAAGATTTGTTGCTGTGTGAACATGTTCGGGTAGAAGCCCATGCGCTTATATGTGCAACAAAGGTTTGTCTGTGCCCTAGACAACGGTGTTATCACGATGCTCAGCAGTATATTCAGCTCCCGGGTGTTTCACCAATAGTGTTCACATATAAGCGCATGCGCTTATAATTGAGGGGTGCGCTTCTGTCCGGACATAAGCACATGCGCTCGTATGTGCGGAAGTACGGTAATAGTGAAAATAACACGTTGTTTTCAGTGTACATGTACTTCAGGAATTTTCATTTCGGTAATTTCAGTGCAGAAACCAAGCACCTAAGTCTAGATTACACCAACTACACCTATTGCCTACCACATCTCAGATTACACCTAAGGGGCACTATGTGTATGGGAAGGGAATGCTGGTCAACTAATTCTACATCACACCTGAACCCGGGCAGGTCCCCGACACTCAAATTTTAATACACCTACAAATACACGTCTTCCACAGTAAGCACAGACGGCATAACATACCTCCCACGAGCGGCACATTCGGCATCCATTGGATGGACGACAGGACTTTGGGGAACAGCTCCAGGCACCTGTGTGTGTACAAGCACAAATACAGAAACAGTCGAGGGAAATGCCCGGTTCATTGAAACGCATGCACTACTGCCGGGTGCGAAAACAAAACCACAATATGCGAGCTCAAATCTTGAGGAGGGGGGGGGGGTGATGATGATTCAGGCATGGAATAGGGCTTGAAAGTGCTACGTCACAGCATAGCAACAATTTCAAAAATTCATATGGATCCAAGCACATTTCAAGCCGTCTTACTCACCGCAAGGTGATGTAGCCAGTGAAACTGACTGATTGGGCTACTGGGGGCAGGGTTACAACTGGTGGCGAAGTAAAAGTCACCCCTGCATACGACATGAGTGGGTTGCTATGCACCCACATACTGAGGCAATAGCAAAGTCCAGTGTTGCCACATCATTATAGCCAAATATCAGTAGGATAAAAAAACAAAATGCATCATCCGGGGGTTTTGCCCCCGGACTCCCTCCCCTATATAGCGACCTCGATACACACACACGCGGCACTCATAAGAAAAAAATTTCACGTTTTGCGTGAGACTCAGGCTGAGTTTGCCGATTTTCTCGAAGCAGATGATGATTTCGCTTAGCGCCTTAGGAGAGAGCTATGGAAACACGCGTAATGAGCAGTAAAAGCTAAAAATCTGGATCATGACTTCTAAACCACGCATACGGTCAAACTTGGACACTTTCATGGCTGTTGTCGGCAGGAGAAAGTCAATTGTCGGCAGGTCGTGACATGCCTCAAAAATCGGCAGGCTACTGACATGTCGGCAGGTGTGGCAACACAGAAAGTCACACCTTAGTAGATCCAAAATAGAAATCTGATGTCAACTTACTACTCTCTGGCCGTTTTGACGTCATCACTTTCAAGCCCTATAACATTGGACGGTTTTAAACTAGTAAAAAAAAAAAAAAAAATCAATAGACAACCACCGTCACCAGTAACATAAGGGTGGGAAAGGTCCGAGAACCCGCAAAAAGGTGCAGCAGCGTTTTTTTATATCCTATCAAAAGGTTAGGAGATTCTCCGAAGCTCTCCAAGCTTTAGCGGTGGTTGAACGTTGGGAGACTCTCGCGATAATGGATCTACGCATGCGGCCAACCACAAAACACACGTATTCTCAGGGGTTCGCCAAAACATCATGGACTGTTCTCACGTCTCCAAAGGTCGCGGTCTGTTTGGCGATTTGCTCTCCAGAGATCATTGAGATTCGTTATTGTATTCATCCAGTTTCATTGCTTTCCAAGACGCATTTCACCAAGAACCAACAAAACATAAGAATGCACTTGATTGCTAGTAGTAGTAGTAGTAGTAGTAGCAGTACAGAATACAAATCAGGATTGGAATAAAAACGATTCGCCCACAAGGTAAATAACACTGTTGGTTGGGATATTCCTGGAAACTTTGGCAAGATTCAGGAAGATAAGAACGTCACATCGCACCACCAGCATCCTGTCAAGTGACTTCGCTGCTTCTATGTTACGACAACAATAAAAGAACATTACGGCAGCATTCCACTGAGAGAAGAACAAGACGTCAACACTAAAACGAATACGTTCGCAGATCAATCTAGAATGCCTCCACACATGTGGCACGCTCTGGCTTCTTTGGCACAGCATCACACTGCCGACTTAGTAAAGAAATCTCGTACAGGCTTGACGACGTCCACACTGTTTACACCACAAATATGTGTTCTCCAAGCCGAAGATTCTGCGACACTTGTGACCATCACCGGGGCACTTATGAAAGACGGGAATACCGGAAATGTCACGATAGTCCCTACCAGCTGCCTTCAATTGTGCAGCCAACTGTGATGATTCGCTGTAGGCCAAACTGCCAACCACAAAGGCAGCCAAACGCCCGTGTTGGTCGGGGATCAGGGAGACAGGGTTAACGTATGAAGTCTGCAAACCCGGCGGCAGCACATTCGGTGCACTACGCAACTTAGTCGCCTGCCACTGGCGGACGACTGATTGTTCTGACGGGTTTAGTACCCTGCCTTGGAATATGGCAGACAATGAACTGGGCAGAACAGTGGCCATTTCAAGGGACTGGCCAGGGAAACCTTGGAAAAGGGCACTCATTCCAGGCACAGAAATGGAACTCGTTCCGGGAGATGGACCAAAGGGTGACGACGTGCTCGAAAACGTTGATTGTCCGAAACTGGTGTTGTTGTTGACGGTATCTCTGCCCATGCTGAGGTACCCAGGCCGATTGAATGGCTCTACAGTCTGTGCTCCAGCTTGATAATGTCTACCAGTGGAGGGACGTGCAACTGCTGAGTTGCCTGAATACTGCACAAACTGTATGTTTGGAGACGTTGCGTCATATCTTGGACTGCGTCGATCTTGCAGGGCTAATCGTGGATCATTCCCAAACCGAGCAGCCACCGGCAGGTAGGTGGATGGCTGATGAGGGTACACAATCGGAAAGGCTGGGTCAGGACTTGCCACAGACCACCAGTGTGGCAGAGCGAGTGCTGGATAATTCGGGTACGGAAGTAACAGCTGCTGGTTGGCGGGCACTTGCGCTGACGGGTTTCGGCTGCTACCTAGCCACACAGAGGGCCTATAACTGGATGGACCAGCGGCCAGTGCAAGATGTGACATCCTTGATGTGATCATTGCAAAGGATGGAATGCTTTTGTCATTATCTTCTGTTAGTGGAACAGACTGTGACCGTCGCTCACTGCTAACATTACTCAGTTCGTCTGATGGCGACTGCGAGAGTCGATCTTGGAGCTGCTCCTCCTCGCTTTTTTTGTCATCCACAAAGGCAGCCAAATGCCCTTGTTGGTCTGGGATCACGGAGACAGGGTTAACGTATGAAGTCTGCAAACCCGGCGGCAGCACATTCGGTGCACTACGCAACTCAGTCGCCTGCCGCTGACGGGCGACTGTTTGTTCCGACGGGTTTAGTACACTGCCTTGGAATGAGGCAGACAATGAACTGGCCAGATCAGTGGCCATTTCAAGGGACTGGCCAGGGGAAGCTTGGAAAAGGGCACTCATTCCGGGCACAGAGGTGGAATTCGTTCTGGGAGATGAACCAAAGGGTGGCGACCGGCTCGAAAACGTTGATTGTCCGAAACTGGTGTTATTGTTGACGGTACCTCTGCCCATGCTGGGGTACCTAGACCGATTGAATGGCTCTACAATCTGTGCTCCAGCTTGATAAAGTCCACCAGTGGAGGGACTCGCAACTGCTGAGTCCCCGGAATACTGCAGCAACTGCATGTTTGGAGAGTTTCGCTCAGATCGTGGACTGGGCTGATCTCGAAGGGCTAATCGATGGTCATTTCCGGACTGAGTCGGTACAAGCAGGCTGGTAGACGACGGTTGCGGGTACATATTCGGAGGGGTCGGTGCAAGTCTTGAAACAGGACAGTCTGGTGGGGCATATGCTGGATCATTCAGGGACTGACTTGTCAGCAGCTGGTTGGTGGATGCTTGCGCTGACGGGTTCAGACTGCTGCCATGGCATGGAGAGGGCACATAACTTGACGGACAAGTGGCCATTGCAAGGGAACTGGGAAGAGTAACTTGGCGTGGCTCACTAACGGCAGGTATAATGTTCCTACTCTCAGGACTTGATTCGAACAGGGATAACAGATCCGGACCAAATAAAGACGTCAAATCGCTACTCGTAATTGGATTGCTAAAGGAAGCACTGGTTGAAATGCTCGACACACTTGATGTCGTCATTGCAGATGATGGAATGTTGCGGCCACGGCTTTCCAGTAGTTCACCGCACTGTGACCGCATGTTCCTGTACAGATTCTCCAATTCGCCAGGTAGCAACCGCGAGGGTCGGAGCAGTCTTGAGAGCTCTTCCTCCTCACTGTCCGTCTGTTGAGGCCATACTTGGCGAGAGTCCATACTTGGTAGATGGCAGGCACCTGCTGAATGTACTCCTGGTAATGATGCTGATCAAGATTTGCCAGTGGCTGATATCAGGGTAGTGGAGCATCAGAACAGCACTGCCAAGTTCAACTGTTCCCAATAATCCTGCATGCTATATGAAGGCCCCAACCTGAATATATACATTCTCAATACAAGCGGTACTCTACGCACGCAAGATTTCGCATGTTTGCACCATTCCAGTGCTAAACAGGTCCGGCGCTAAACTCCATTGAATGGCTGAACAGTGCCATAAACGTTTTGCACAGTTTCATTCAGCACACATAAAACACTACACCGAAGGTAACAGTGACGTCATCACCAATGTGACGAATTATAGGCCTTCCAGTTGACAGCCTGCAGTCACAAGTACATGCTAGAACATCACTTTACATCACACAGTCAAAGGCATGTTGCACGTGACAAGGTGGTACAAACGGTGTCTGCAATTATGTCACCCCAAGTGAAATTAGTACCTGTAGTATGATTTCTACTCCGGCCTATTCTCTGTTAACGTTAAGTTATTCACCCCTGGTGTACTCAAATGATTGAAATCAAACTCTCAGATACACTGGACTTGAAAGTACACACATCCCCCCCCCCCCCCATTCTCCTCCAAAAAAATACCAAACCCCAAAACAAGCACTGACATGCTGAAGTACACACAAGTTCAAACTCACAGGCACTTGAATACCAGTACATGTACTTGTCTCCTGAAACTCAAGCCCAAAGGTGAAGCTCAGAACACAATAATGAGCTTTCCCAAACCAGCTTCAGAATCAGTGGTTGGCTTTCAATGGTCTGTTGCAATCAGAAATGAATGCACTGGTGTCGGGCGGGAAACCAAACATCACAAGACCTCACACAGCCAATGCTGATAATAATCAAGACGTTAGAGAGCTAATGGGAGGGCGGACGGAGAGGTAAATTAAAATCTCAGGCAAGCAATGCAGGCCGTACAACATTCAAAGAAATGAATTCCCAGGCTGAATGGAGATAGTGTAATTATAACACGTTGAAGTGTAAAAGATCTAAACTATAAGTCAGAGGATGCCAGTGCCGCACCTGGATTCCCGCATACATACAAGTAGTATGTTCTGGCT